GAAGGCGTCGGCGCAGCGGGGGGGGGGGGACTGACGAAATCTGCCTGCAAGAACGACATTTATGCAACCCATCGAAGAAATATTTCTCCAATATACTTTAATATTGTGACTTTGCAAGTAAGGGTTACAAGCAACTAGAATTTAATAATTTATTTAAGTTTATGTTATTTACACGTCAGCCTGAAGGCTTACACGTGATTTTCAGAAAACAAAAATGCATTCCTTGATGAAATGAATAAAATGAATTCGTTGCTGTTGATCTCAATTTACTGAAAAAATGTACAAATTTGTTCCAAGTATCCAACTCCTTTAGGATTTTGTGAGTGACATTAAAAGTGAAATACGAACCATTCGTAAGATGGTCGACGCTTTGCTACATTATTTACTTTTGAGGTTAACAATTCGGATCCGGTTTGTTTATTTGTTAATTTTATGTGTTTTTTTGTTGGCGATGGTAAAGTCCGTTACAGGAAAATTAATGTTTTAAATTCAGTTCACTGATCCTCAGGTCCTGCATGTAGCTTTAGCGACACAATTGATATAATTATTTAGTTTTCATTGTGCTCGAAAATGACGTTTTAAAAGATTTAGAGCGGTCAGTTATGCACGAATGTGCTTTTTGGAAGTGTTTCTCCTTTGATTCTTAATGATCCCTTGATATAAGTAAAAGTGCAGGGTGCCACCAAATATTGTGCTTGTGCTTATCTTGTGACGCCATTAAAGCTGTCGGGAAATAATAATTTTGACATCATTTTCTCTATAACCTGTTTTCCGATCTCTTTGCTTTCTGTTCTAAACGAAATGTAATAACGTAGTTGTTAACACTTGTTGATATCTCAAACCGTTTTTTAGTTAGAAAGCTGTTTTTGAACACGTGATGTAAACAATTTCACTGAAGATATGAAAATATAATAGGTAATACCATGAGGTCTTTGGAAATTGTCGATAAATCCCCGACTCTGGGGATTTATCTGAGAATTTTCAAAGCACGACTGGTATTTACACGAAAGAAAATTCTCTATTTCACGAATGAAATTATGTCAGAGTTCCAAAGTGCGCCAAATACTGAAACTGACTGAAAGATATGTTCAAATCAAAGAGGTTATGTATACATGCGGCTTATTGGACATCGACATAGTGATCGATGTACACCGCCTTCTAAGTTAAACGAGTCACAGTGTATGATGGGCCAGTAGGAAGAAGCGGCAAGGCAAATCCGATAGAAAAAGCGATTAACTTTCCGAGATACACCGCCTTGATTGAGGAATTTTACGTGTAGTTAAATCCTGATGGTTTTAATTTGACGAGTGGAAGAGTCATTTAGCGCTAATTTTGAAAACGCGCCCGGCGAGACCGTCTAGGATTTGATTGCGTATTGTATTGAAAGTCCCACAGGCCAGACGATGTGTCAAAGGCACTCGTGAGGAGTTGTAGCCACGTCCGTGTGTCCGCAGGGCAAGATGGGCATGCCGGGCTTCCCGGGCATCAACGGGGTGCCGGGCGTGCAGGGTCCGCCGGGCGCGTCGGGGCTGCCCGGGCTGGACGGCTGCAACGGCACGGACGGCGCGCCGGGCCGCGACGGCCGCCCCGGCGACCCGGGCCCCCGCGGCTTCCCGGGCACGCCGGGCGACAAAGGCGAGAAGGGCGAGCCGGCGCACGCGGGCCTCTACTCCAAGGGCCAGAAGGGCGAGCCGGGCCTCAACGGGCTGCAGGGCCCGCCGGGCAGCCCGGGGCCCGCGGGCATCAGCGGCCTGCCCGGACACAAGGGTGACCGCGGCCCGCCGGGCATCCGGGGCCCCGTCGGGCCCAAGGGCGAGCGAGGAGAGCCCGGCATCGGCTACGTCGGAGAGAAGGGCAACAAGGGAGAGAAGGGCAACATTGGGCCGCCGGGCGATGCCGCCTGGGAGGTCATCGAACCCAAGGGGTCCGTCGTCGGGCCCGCGGGCGAACCCGGCTACAAGGGCGAGAAGGTAAGTGCGGTCCCCAAGCACGTGTTGGACGGCAAAGACAGGCGCTGCAAGATCTCCCTTGCACAGTCACCATGTCAGAAGTGTACACTGTGTTCACTTCCACTATGTAACGTTAACAAAAGTATAACGTTAGTTCCCTTTTCGCGTTCGTCTGGACTTTTCAGTTTCGAGACACCCTCTTCCCAGTCGTCTATCGGTGCCTAAAAGATATTTGTTTCATGTTTTTTCAAATTTTCGGTCCCCTAATAGTAAAATACAAATTGACTTTGAGGATATTACAAAAGTGTAAAACCTGGACCTACACACAAAATATCATTGTAAACAGAAGAAAACATTAAAATGGAGATTGTGCCATGTCATTGAGCGAATTTAGCACTACATTTACAAGAAGTTTTAGAAATACATCTGTTTTGACAAAATCTTTTTTTAAATTACACACTTTTTCTCTTAAAATTACGCGAAAACTACTTATTTTCAAAAAATTACATGATATAAATCAAAAAATAGAGAAAAACAATTTTATTTTCGAGAAGAAATCCATACCTTTAGTAATTTAGTTTTATGAGGTTCAAGACTGTTGGATGCTATCTAACCATGTGGTTAGAAAATGTAAACCTAGAACACTTAATGGGAAGAGGGACTCGTGGAATACTCCCCTCAACACGAGTTTGGCTTAGTGCTTCAACTCACTGTCTCCGTCATTCAAATGTTTATCCATATAATTGTACCAAGCCAACATCACAAAATGATAATTCTCTTTAGACTAACTGAGCTGAACATCGTTCCGAAGTGAGTCCACTCCAGTGCAGGTGTCGCTGCGCAGGGCGAGGTGGGCGGCCATGCAAGAATCGTTTGCACGAGAGCCCAGTGCGAGTGCTTTTTTTGCGCAGGGAGAAGTGGGCCCTGCGGGTCCCAAGGGCGACCTGGGGCTGCCGGGCGAGCACGGAGGGCCGGGCGAGCTGGGCATGAAGGGCGAGAAGGGCCTGCCCGGCGCGCCGGGCCCTCGTGGCAGGGACGGCTTCCCGGGCCCCGCGGGACCCATGGGCCAGAAGGGTGATCGCGGCGTGGACGGACTGAAGGGCCTGGCAGGGCGACCGGGACAGAAGGGCGAGCCGGGCTACCCAGGCAACCCGGGCTCGCAGGGACTGCGCGGACCTCCAGGACCTCCAGGGGTAAGTACCTCCACATTGCTTGACCCTCCCTCCGCTTCACCCTCCCTCCGCTTCAGTCTCCATCCGCTTGACTCTCCCACCACTTGACTCTCTCACCACTTGACTCTTCTCCACTTGTTCAATTTGGGGCAAGAACAGAAAATACCATCGCAAAATGTTACCTGCCATATTAATTTCCACATTTTTACATTATTTGTTCTCCTTATTCAGAGGTATCAACCTTTCAACAACTTAAGGAAATCTTTTGAACTAGCGGAGTGTAAAATGTCGAGCGTTTCTCGCTTGTGACGTCGAGGGGAGCGAAAACGGTGCTACTATCTAGCGATCGTTTTGTTAACTGGCGTGACACTCGAGCAAAATAGTTTCGTGCAAGACTAGGTGGAACGCACTTACAGACGGCGCGCGATACCCACACAGCCTGATCGCACATGAAGCGCCTTTGTGCAGAGAGAGAGAGAGAGAGAGAGAGAGATTGTGCGAGTGTGTGTAAGTAGGAGGGTGTGAGTGAGTGTATGTATGCGTGAGTATGTGTGTGAGAGAGAATGAGTGAGTGAGTGCGTGTGTATGAAAATGTGTGTGTGAGAGTGTGAATGTACGTGAGTGTATGAGTGTGTGTGTGTGTGTGACAATGAATGCGAGGGAGCGGGTTGGCGCTCAAATTCAGATGTGTGAGTGCGTGCGTGCTGCACCATCCTCCACGCAAAGCAAATGGAAACGTCCTTGGGCTTTTGTGTGTGAGAACATGTGTGCGTAGAGAGCGCTGATACAAGCACGTCGCTCGCCTTAATGGTTAAATTGCCTCTGAATCAAAACAAACGTTCAGCCTTGCATTTATTTTCTTCTCGCTGCGACAGTTTACTTTTGGAGCATCAGCTTGCCTGCACATTATTTCCAAAGAAGTAAATAGTCTCAAGTGTTTCCAACATAATCTGGAAATATGAATATTCTCAAATCAAATAAGGCGCTCATATAGTTCGTTTTTCATTATTACACGCGTGGAATGAACACACGCTTTGACACGTCTGTGTTGGAAAAACACAGTTTCACAGCGTTTACCATATGGTAACTGAAAATATTTTCTTCTTTGAGAAAAACTTTATCAACAATCTTGGAAAAACATGGATTATCGAAGAGTTTTACAAGACCGCCTCTCGACGTTTGCTTTCTTTGCTGCTTCATCTGAGTTTTCTGTGTGTTTTCCGAGTCTGCCTCTCGAGAAAAGAAGCAAGTTTAGTTTTTTTATTGTCATAAGTATTTAAACATATCACATTCAAAAATAAGCATTTTTATTTGCCAGTTTTAAGTCTTTGATTCTGAAGTAATTCAAAATTATGACAATATCACTGCCTTCTTTTGAACACTTCAGAACACTTTTCACTTTAATATCATTATTATATTTTTGTTCCGTTTTTTTAGATGCTAACGGCATTTTGTTCTTCAAAATACCTAGATTATGTTCTCTAAAATGATTGCAAGAACCAATGTAAATCCAATTTCTACATAACTGAAGTAGAACAAGGGTTAACCCACATTGACCTAGTTCGGAGATATTGACGTAGTTCTGAGGGTTTGAGAACAACATTCATAATACATCTGCGTACATTTTAATCACAGACGCGTATAAGTCCATATTGGATTTAAGTAACATTTTACATTAAAATAATCTTCCAAGTTTTGTGTAATGCTACTAATGCCCTCCAAGGGTCTAGGAGTTGAGCGAGTGTGTGTGTGTTGCGCAGGGCGGCAAAGGACGGCCGGGTCCCCCAGGCCCAGCAGGGCCGCGCGGCTTCCAGGGCCCGCCGGGCCCTAAGGGCTTGGACGGCTACCCCGGCGGGCCGGGCGAGCGGGGCCCCGCCGGGCCGAAGGGCGGGCCTGGCATCCCAGGCGCGCCGGGCGCGGAGGGCTTCCCCGGCCCTAAGGGCGCTAAGGGCGAGCCCGGACTCACAGGTGAGCGCACTCGCCACTCGCTGTCATTCGCCATTCGCTCATTCATGCACTTTGCATTCATCACTCGTGTTTTATCCATTTTTTCTTTCATATATTCGGAGGTCCTAGGGTTCGAGTCCGGACGGAGGCAGCATTTTCGGCAAAAAACGTATTAGCTAGGTCGAATTCGGTCGCTTTCTGGAAGACAATTCCACTGGCCGGCTACTCTGATTGGTAGTGAACTTTGAGCGTGTCCCGGTCCTGGAGGTGCCGCGCTGGTGGGAGATACCTGGTTGGGGAAACGCCGCTGGCCGACGTGTTGGTCGGTGCTGGGACTCGCCATCCAAAGGGAGAAGATCACCGCTACCTCCCGCGTTGAAACGCTGCTCTACACCTACGAGACTAACGACCTTAGTCAGCCCCATCACTAATCAATGGACGAATGCTTCGCAGGCTTCCCCGGCGAGGAGGGCCCTCGCGGCTACCCCGGCAACCAAGGGCCCCCGGGCCCGCGAGGCTTCCCCGGCGAGAAGGGCCTGTCCATCACGGTGAGTGGGGCGCCGCTCGACGCAATGGCAACAAAGAGTCACTTGGAACAAAGCGAATTTAACTCTCTGCGTCGGCAGGATTTCTTTCAGCTGTTATTGGAGACGGTGCTCATTGATGATTTCAGTTTACGTTTCTCGTGATTTATATTTCTCATGTTTAATAGCGTTAACGATCACCATTAGAGTTGACAGCAGGCACTAGACCGAAGAACAATGATCTGGCCTAAAGCAGTAAGATTCCTAGGCAACGCTGGTAATTTCATTCTAATAGTATTTTGTTTCTTGATTTCAATATCCGTTTATCAACACAGCTGTCTCAGTAGAGATGTAACAAATTCTTCTGAAGAGCGATAATCCTCTTTTGTCAAAAATGAACTTGTACAAGGAAATCTTAGATAACAATGTAACTCGTATGACATTCGGCATTATACATAGGCAACTTGTTACACATTGGTGCTTGACAGGTGTGCTGACGCAGTCAAAAATATTTCATTTGAAATTGAAAACCGATCACCAGCCCGTGATGAGTTACCAAAGAGCCAGGAACACATGACACAAGTTACTTTAGTAAATAGTGATAAATTTCAATTGTAAATTAAATTGTATTTAAGAAACTACGAACAAATTTGACATACCAAAAGTGACAGACAAATCCACTTCACAAGTCTTAGTGGCAAAGACATGTCTGAAATGTCAAGCCACGTTTCCTCACCGTCAGAATTACTAACCGTTCCTCTGTGTGCGCTGGCAGGGCCCCAAGGGCATGGACGGCGCCCCTGGCCGCGACGGCGAGAAGGGCCAGAAGGGCGAGCGCGGCTTCCCCGGCCAGCGCGGCTACCCCGGCGACTCCCCCACCGGCATCCCGGGCCCCGAAGGGCCCCCGGGCCCCCGCGGCGAGAAGGGCAAGGACGGCGTGCCGGGCACCCCCGGCATCCCGGGTGAGTACACACTCGTCCCAGAACACCCGCCTTCTCCAGCGTCTCCTCAGTTCCAAGACACGGAAACTGCTCCCACGTGCCCCACCACGGCCCCTACTGCTCCAGCGAAACGTGTGCTCGACTTTCTCTACGAAAGGTACTCATGATACCCAACAGCTCCCTCAACCCTCCAAGGTCCTCGGAGCTCAAATAACTCCAAGAAACAACCTTTTTCCAGGTCTCCCTAACTTCACTCCCTACAGTTCCAATGTCCCGAACGTCCTGCCTCCCAAAGAAACTATCCTCAGAATTCCCAACAGCTCCCCCACATCTTCCAAATTTCTCTCAGCATCCTATTCCCTAGTCCCCAACGTGCTCGAGTGCTTTCTGCTTTCGAAGACCTTCAAGAAGCAAACTATTTCAAGGTCCTCGACCTTCACCAGCACCTCCTACCCTCGAACACCTCTATGAAATAGTAACAATTCGTAGTCCCCAAAATGCTCGAGTGCCTTCTCCGCTCGAATGCCTTCAAAAAACAGAAACGGTTTCCAGGTCCCCCAAGCATTCGAGTGTTTTCTGCGCTCGAAAGCCTCCAAGAAGCGAACTATTCCACGGTCCTTGACCTTCACTAGCACCTCGAATATTTCTAAGGAACAAAAACTCTACAGTTTCCCGAGAGCTCGAGTGCCATTCCCAGGTCCCCTAAGCGCTCGAGTGTTTTCTGCGCTCGAAAGCCTCCAAGAAGCGAACTATTCCACGGTTCCTGACCTTCATTAGCTACAGTTTCCCGAGAGCTTGAGTGCCATTCCCAGATCCCCCAAGCGCTCGAGTGCCACCGAGGGAGAGCGAGAGCGAGAGCGAAGCGCGTGCGCAGGGTCGCCGGGCGAGAAGGGCGAGCGCGGCGGGCGCTGCCAGGACTGCCGGCCGGGGCAGCCGGGCGCCAAGGGCGACCGAGGGCTGGACGGCGTGCCGGGCGCGCAGGGCCAGCGCGGGCCGCCGGGCGAGCGCGGCGCCACGGGCGAGACCGGACCGGACGGACAGGCGGGCCTGCCCGGCTCCCCCGGACAGCCGGTGAGACACGCACTGCACCTCCGGCGCTACGGGCCCATTTTCCCTTTAAAACAATGCCTTTCAGGGTAGACATCAATTTGATGCTATAAAAAAAGAAAATTATCCATTTTTATACGACATTCTTGGCATTTTTCGTTGACTTCGACTAATAAGTCACTTTTACCCTTTTCCGTCATTTTTAAAGCAATTTCGCTAATATAATAATAGATTTTGCTTCAAATAATATTTAAGAGATGCAACAACGTTCTTTACAGAATTGTTGAGCAGCCTATTCATTTTCTTCGCTCGGAAATTTTAATGTCGGTATTGTAAGTATGTGATACCTGGATCCTCTGACGATTACCTGCGCCATTGTCGGTTCGACCGATTTCATGATATTTCCTAGTAAACAACCGGTCAAACCAACAGCTGGCAAGCTGAGTTCGTATGTACGAATGGAAGAAACCACGATCATTTAGCAACACATCCAACAGCTTCAGTGGCTCCTCTGAACTGATTTCGATGAAAGTTTTTACTTTCAGGGAGTTTTAGAAAGGTTTTGCGAGCGCTTTAGCGGTGTTGAGTAGCTGAGAGCGCCGCTCGTGCCGCAGGGCGAGGCCGGGCGCATGGGCGCGCCGGGCAACCCAGGCCCGCCAGGCAAGGACGCCATCGTCAGCGGCAACCTCGTCAAGGGCGAGAAGGGCGCTCCGGGCGAGCGGGGGCTGCCGGGGCGCGATGGGCCGCCCGGCCGCGAAGGGCCGCTAGGGCCGGCCGGCCGCCCGGGGCTGCCCGGCCTGCCTGGTCTGAAGGGCGAGCGAGGCGACGTGGGCTACCCAGGCTCGGACGGCGCGGCGGGCGCTCCCGGCCTGCCGGGCGCCAAGGGCGAGAAGGGCTTCAGCATCCGAGGGGACAAGGGCGACCAAGGCACCGACGGCCTCACGGGCGACAAGGGCGAGCCCGGAGACATGGGTGTCAAGGGCGAACCAGGTGAG